TGTTCATACTGCTACCTACCTAATCAACCGTATGCCCTCCAGGGTCCTTGGCTCTAAAACCCCTTTTAGTCTTCTCTTCCCGGATGAGGATCTCTTTTCTCTCCCTCTCCGTGTATTTGGGTGTATTTGTTATGTGCATATTCATAGTCACCAAAGGCATAAATTTGAACCTAAGGCTCATAAGTGTGTGTTTCTGGGATATGCTTCTACACAAAAGGGTTATTGTTGTTTTGATCCATATCGTGGCACCCGCTTTGTATCTTGGAATGTCACCTTTGTAGAGTTGACTCCTTTCTTTAGTRTTCCTCCTGAGGGGGAGAAATCTGATGAACCCTTTGCTATGTCTCCAGCTATTCCTCCTCCCATCCCTTGTGAGTCTGATCATGGGGTGTCCACCTCTTCCACTGGACCCACCCCTGATACCCCTGCTCCTCCTCTTGCTTCTGCTCCTACTCTCCAAAGGTGTTACCAAAGGCGGCGATTCAGACATATGCAGGTTGTTTCCACTCCTTCAGAAGAGCATCTTGCCACTCCCATAGTTCCTGAGGAAACAAGTCAGCCCTCTATCGACCCACCTTCGACCGTCCCCGATCTTGACCTTCCTATTGCTCTTTGCAAGGGCAAGCGGAAGTGTACAGCCCATTGCATCTCCAAACATTTATCTTATAGCCTTCTCTCTCCTTCCTACTACTCCTTTCTTGCTTCTGTTTCTTCCCATGTGATACCCAGGTCTGTATCGGAAGCATTATCTCAACCTGAATGGAGGGATGCTATGATGACTGAACTTGAAGCATTACATAAGAACCATACCTGGGATATTGTGGACTTGCCAGAAGGGAAGGAACCAGTGGAGTGTAAATGGGTGTTTACCATTAAATATCACTCTGATGGCTCGGTTGAAAGGTATAAGGCTAGGTTGGTTGCCAAAAATTACACCCAAATGTATGGCATTGACTATCTTGAGACCTTTGACCCTATAGCTAAGATGACTTCAGTTTGGGTTTTGCTTTCTCTAACAGCTACCTTTGATTGGCCCCTACACCAGTTTGATGTTAAAAATGCTTTCTTGAATGTAGATCTGCATGAAGAAGTCTATATGTCTCTACTTCCAAGGGTGTATGGGAAAGAAATGAAAGGCAAGGTGTATAAACTACACAAACCCATTTATGGACTCAAACAATCTCCTTGGGCTTGGTTTCAGAGATTTCGGGCTGCTCTTGTCTCCTTTGGCTATACTCAAACACAATCTGATCATACATTGTTCCTGAAGAGAACTAACACTCTGGTGACCTTCTTGATTGTTTATGTTGATGATATTGTGGTTACGGTGAAGAGGCCAGGAAACTAAAAGGGTTTCTCAATTCTGAATTTGAAATCAAAGACTTGGGAGACCTTCGGTATTTCTTGGGCATTGAAGTTGCTCGGTCTAAGGAGGGTATTTTCATATCTCAGTGCAAATATCTCCTTGATCTTCTTGCTGAAACTGGTAAACTTGGAGCTAAACCCGTCTCCACTCCCATTGATCCTAATCATAAACTTTCTGCCATAGATGGTGAACCTTTGTCTGATAAGGGAGTGTTTCAGAGACTACTTGAGATTGTTGTATCTTTGCATGACTCGGCTAGATATTTCCTATGCAGTAAGTGTTATTAGTCAGTTTATGCATTCGCCTAGAGATACTCATCTTGCTGCTGCAAAAAGGGTCTTGTGCTACTAGAAAGATACTCCAGGGAAAGGTATTCTATTTTCTAAGCATGATCACATGAAACTGGAGGCCTTTACTGATGCAGATTGGGCAGGATGTGTGGATGATAGGAGGTCTACCTCTAGTTATTGTGCTTTGGTGGCTGGAAATATTGTGTCTTGGAGAAGTAAGAAACAATCAGTAGTTGCTAGATCCTCRGCTTAAGCAGAATACAGGGCTATGGCTCATGGTGTATCAGAACTACTATAGCTACGATCTCTTCTAGAGGAATTGGGGGTGGACTACGAGAAACCAATGATACTCTATTGTGACAATCAAGCTGCTATCAACATTGCACATAATCCTGTTCAACATGATAGAACTAAGCACATTGAGGTTGATAGGCATTTCATAAGGGAAAGAGTCTCTTCAGGAGAAGTTTGTTTGCCATTTATCGCATCAGAAGAGCAACTGGCAGATATCTTGACCAAGGGAGTTCCCAAAGGGAAATTGACACATTATATAAGCAAGTTGGGCATGATTGACATCTATGCTCAGCTTGAGGGGGAGTGTAAAGAGACTGGGCCGAATGGGCCCTAACAGCCTCTTGTGTGATATCCTTTTTTATCTTTTATTTTATGTTGATGGGCCTCACTTAATGGGCCTGTTATTTATTCTTGTTTTTATTTTCTTTATGTAATTGCCAAGTTGGCCGCCCACTTAAGGGCATACTTGTCATCATTAATTTTTAGAGATTAATAAATAGGGTTAGAGTAGAAGGGTGTATCATTTTTTGACTCCTTCTCTTACCTCTTCTCTTCGACATACACATCTCTTGCATTATTATTCAGCTCTGATTTGTTCTGTTAATCACTGATTTTAAATCTGATATTAGAGGACTGATTTACATCTCCTAGAAACCCGTTGCTTAGCAATGGAACACCACAGGAAACACTGAAAGCAACCTTTTGTGTCATTAGAACTAAAATAAATTGTCATCAACCACATAATAATTAAAGAGCATGAATTCAGAGCAAGATATGCATTGAATTCCAGAACACATTATGAATGAAATAGACATATACCTTGTAATGACAACAGGAATACCAGCATATGCTGCATAAACAGCAGCTTTCACTTTAGCAGTCATGCCACCTCTTCCCACCCTGGACTTATCACCAAATGTGATTTCTCCTTGATGCTTTTCTTTGATATAGGTATGGATTAACTTTGAATGTGGATCACTGGGAGGACCACTATATAGGCCTTCCACATCACTTAACAAGACAAGAAGGTCAGCTTTCAGCTCCAAAGCTAGTAAAGCTGCTAGACTGTCATTATCCCAGAATATACCAGAAGAATCCTGCAAATATTGTTCGCAATGAGAATTCAACAGTAGAAATAACGGATGAGAAACATAAAAAAGGTAATGAACTAAGTATGAAGCGAATTTATCAAAAAAAACTAAGTATGAAGCGAAATATGTACCAAAAGGTCCTTTGAAACAAATTGTCTTCAGATATGGAACCTATAATGGTTCAAGGATATGACTATTTAAATAAAATTTGGGAGAAAGACCAGGACCAATACAACTTTCTAATATTATTGCCTCTATAGATAAAAAACAAAAATTTAAGAAGAATTTATAATAAGGTTACAAGATATCACCCACAGAAATTCAAAACCAAATATCTACACCACCAAGACCCCCCAACCCTATTAATACAGACTTTTCTTCCCATTTTTACAAGCACAAACAAGACTCACCACCAAAACCCAAAGCACTTGAAGACCCAGCAACCCCCCTTAAAATCCCTAGACCAACAATGACCCCAATAACTTTCACCATTCAGGTCTCCCCTTAGCTTTCTTTGTTCAAAGGATATCTCTATTCCAATTCCTGGAACATTTTTCTCACAAATTCTTCCCCTCTTAAAACAGATAACCCTAATGAAGGGACCGAGAGATCCATCCTATGGGCGCCCAAAGATTGCGAAATAAGGGGCGAATTTCAAAAATTTTTCTCTCCCTTCAACTGGGAATCGTATTCCCTATTTAGAAAATCATATTTTCAAGGATCAATCTTGAACCATAAACTGAACCAGATCTGAACCAAAAGGAGTGGGAGAGGA